AGAGACAGAGAATCTGACTCTTGAGCACTGGCTTGCCTCAAATTTCAGTCCTGTTATGGGTGTGGCAGTCCGTTACTTAAGCTGAGAGGAGATGGATTGCACCATAACCTCATTCCTTTTCCCAATCAATATTAGTTTAATCCTTGGACCCTAGACTTATTGTTGCTGTGTTGCTTGTTATAATGTTTTTTGTCTGTAGTCTGTTAATGTTAATTTAACATGAGGCCTCAGATAGATAGAAGATAGATAGTTTAAAGGGTTAATAAGTTCCATCCTTTGCCAAACTTCAGCTCCAAAACTGTCAGTCATGAGCACTCTGAACATGGACGTAGAGGAAGGAACACTGTTTACTATCCAAACACCATTCAAGCTCAGGAAAAACACATTGGGAGGAGCTGTGTAGAAAGTCAGGAAGGGTCTTTTGTTTACTTTCCCCACTTTACACGTTCACAGTGTCTATCACGGAAGACTTAACATTCTGCTGCAGAACAGCTCCCAATTGCACTTTCTTAAAGAATGTGTTCTAAGGCACTTAAAAAAGGAGGCACTTAAAGATCAGAGAATGGAGATTCAGCTGCCAGACCTACTTACCAACTTGAACAGATTCTAATAGAATCTGTATCCATTAATACTTTATGTTGTGGCTATCACAGCTGACCAGAGGAGTAACTGAGCTATTAAATCCGAGGGACTGACAGATACCCCCTGCTGAGACTGATGTATAGACCCACAACAAAAAATAATCAGAGCTTGTTATGAAAATTCAGCATGTAGTTTTAGACTTTAGTAACCTTGCATGGTTGCATGCACTATCTAATCTAATCAACACAATTACCCCCTTTCTTCAACTGGGATTGATTAACCAAGGCACGTTTGGTGCCTGAAGTTTGCTTCTTTGGTTTTGCACTTCATTAAGGCTGTTCAGACTGGCGATGTGGTTTACAACACAGTATGACTTACCGTGAAATATAAAAACAAATAAAACTTGCACAAAACCATGTAGCACTCAAAGTAACCATGTGGTTTGAGTAGGTTGAGAAAAGTTTTGGGGGTGTATTTAGGAAAAAAAGATTTGGGTGACTATTGACTTCTTGTGCTTGTTAGCATACTAAACTAAAAAAAGCTTCCAGACTCCAGAGACATTTCCACTGTTTGGATATTAGAGGGTAGTAGGAAAATTGTGCATACATTTTTTCCATTTTCCTTTAATATGAAGATAACTTGACAGAGTTTTTTTAGATTCTACACTCTGCAATCTGCAGTGTGAGCAGGAGCGAGAGCAGCGTTCTTATTGGGATATGGAATGTCACAGTTATGCAGCTGCATCGTGCGTCATTCAAACACATGCCTGTTACATTCCAAACTTTAATAAATCTCCTAAATATATTCCTCAATGTGTGGTCCTTTTAACAGGACATAAGAGAAGCATTTCATCATTAGCAGCGTCACATTTGCAAACTTTGTTTGCAAACAAATTTTGATTACTTTCAAAAAATATCTAAAATGTACATAAAAATGTGCATGTGATGACTGTGGAACCCAGTGGGGCAGGTTGAAAAATGCTTTGATGATTTTTCAGTACAATGTTTGTACAAATTATATTTGATAACTGTGGTTACTCCACACTTTTTCATTCAAATTGTCCAATCGTTTGTCTTTATAAATGTCAATTTACTTTGCTCAGTATCCAGTGAATCTGATGTTTTTAGACACAAGCGCACTCAGACATTTAGATTTGATAACCACATTTATAACTATTATAGCCTCATTTTGTGCCCATTTGCACTTCTGCAGAAACAGAAGTCACATTTAATTAAAGTGCAACAAGCAGACTGGATTGCTCTACATCTATCTTTCTACATTGATGATCATTCATTGACTGCATATTAGTAAGACTCGTAAATTTTGTTGTCTTAAAGTACCAATATCTCCTGTGTGGATCAGTAAAATATTCCTGCATGCTTTTTTGGGGTGAAATATTTAGTTATTATTCAAGTGTGTTGTCCCTACAACTGATTAGAAGAAAATGCTTTATATTTACTTCAGTTCTTATGGAATTGAAGTCATTTTTTTGTGTGTTCTCTTCCAGCTATCTTATTTAGATTGCAAGAACACAATACAAGGCAGTGTTTTGCCCACAGCCTTTTGGGTAACACTTTCTTGAACCTTGCTACATAACGTTGACATAACCATGTAAACATGTCATATAGTATTATGAGTTGTCATGGCAGATTTAGTTCCATAATGTAACGGTGTCATGTTACCATTACTGGTAATCTTCATGACAGTTGCCAGAATGTTTAATGCTGTCAGCTGTCATGACATCTGTAATTACAGTTACCAGTAATTGTAACATGACATTGTTGCATTACTGAACATTATCTATCATAACAATTTAGAACATCATATGAAATCTGCCATAACATGTTTATGGTATGCTTATATTGATGTTGTACACTCTCAGAAGTAAAGGTATGTCACTGGGGCAGTACCTCTCGTCACTGGGGTGGGACCCTCAAGGGTACATCTCAGTACTTTAGTCAGGGATTATTGTAGCATAATCCTTTAAAATTATATTTTCTAAGTTGTGTTGACTTCACACAGCCCACCTCGTCTCCAGGCTTTTTATTTTATTGTTTTGTTTTAAAACATTAGGATATGGAAAGGTAAAAATATGTACTTTTCACCTGGAAAAACTTATTTAAGGTGCACAATTGGACCTTAAAACCACTGTTGTACCTTTGAGGGAACAGTTACATTGTTTGTGCCTTGATGAACAAAAAATGTACCTTCACAGCACCTTTATTTCTAACAGTGTGTAGTGGAGTTCAAGTAAAGCATTGCTGCCTTTTTCTTTCTCCCAGGAAACTCTAAATATTGAGCCCAATGACATCTTTAGAGTGCAGGCTTCTGTGGTCTATTTTTGCATTCTTTACTGCAGGTCTGGAGAAGAAAGGCCTAGAAGGACAATATAAGGTTACACAGAGGAACCAAATGGGCGCCTCAGATCAGAGATCAGATTAGAACAAACCTCACTGAAAGGAGATGAAGAGGGCACTTATGACTTTGAGCAGTGCAGAGGTTCTCATTATGAAGGCCAAACGTAGCAATACATCAAAGAGATCTAGAATGGAACCGACGAAAATTACAAAACAAAATCACAGTATCCTCTTTCAGACTCAGCAAAAGAACTGTAATAAGCCACGATAAGCTCAATATGCTAATTTACTTCATGCAGATTTGATTACTGAGCTATTGCTGTCTGTCATGTCTGACTCTTGCCTTGTGCCTTAAATGCCTATGAAATCTGAGGTAACTAATCAAGGTCTTCATGAGCACTGAAATGTAGTGCCATGTTTACTAGATTACAGAAACTAAATGCATTGCGTGACATAAGTTTTAAGGGCCTATACTTTGCATTTTTCTTGTACTTTATATTTTCTATTCAGACATGCATTTAGAAAATTTAGATGACTTTTTCTTAAGCAGTAATAGTTTGTCTTTACCATTCTCCAACTGTCTTTGAGAATGAGCATGTTACAACTGGCACATTTATAACATATATTGTTGAGGCTTAAATAACATTACAATGTATAAGATATCAAAAATCTCCAAATCTAATGTAAGTTAATCTCTAAATTCAACAAAAGATTCTTTCCTGTGAAATCCCAGGCCTGATCTACACTACATTTGCAGAGTCATTTGAATGGATGCACTGTGTCAAGAGAGTGATATACAGCTAAACAGCAAAGCACCAGAAAGAGCATAAACAAACATACAAACAAGTGTCTAGTGTTGGGATCAATGGTAACAGATCAATGTAGAGACAATAGAGGCTTTCAATGACTTTTGTAAATTTATAAAGTGGTTTATTGTTCAGATTAATCACTTTTTAATGTATGTTTTTGTTGTCTTTTTAGTAATTTTTGTGTTTTTTGCATTGAATATATGTGTTCAGTAACTGGTAAGCTCAATTTCTGCTGAACTGGAGTCTTGATCAGGGGTGCCCAGTCCTAGACGTGATTGAGGCAGGGCTGGACTGGGACCTAAATGTGGCCATGGACCTTTGTCTAAACTAGCTGACTACATGGTTTCCCCAACTATGACCCCCAAAACCAATATTTTTGATGCATATTTTTGAGCAACAATAAGTTTATCTATACATAAGCATGAACACCTCAAAGATACTTTTGCATGGCTCAGAAATTGAGTGCATGCTAGTTAGATAATTTGTCAGTGTGTGGCAGTACATTAACATTAAGCTAGCCATCTGTAGCCTTAGTGTACAGGTAGACTGAATAAACTGGCCACTTTACCCCTCCTGCACTTTGGCCTTGTCATTCCTAGCTTTGATATTGTGTACAATTTGGAGGTTTTCCCCACCTCTCTGTAGCGATTTAACATTCCCAGTTGTTATCATTATGCTTTGTTCTGGGGAGATTTGCATTTGCGTGATTGGCTAGTGACCACACACTGAGAATACAGTGGGCCACAAACATGTCTAGATATGCAAACTCCAGTATTCGCCCAGGATATGCAATCTGTCCTGTGTGGTCTCCATTATTTTATATACTGTTACATTAAAAACTCAGTCTCCATATGTTTCATATACCTTTACCATATACTATTTCTGTCTCAGCAACCCACACACATAGCAGCCCACTTAGAATTGTCCCAGTCCTCCCAGTGGCCAGTCTATCCCTGTCCAGGTCTGGCTTTCAGGGGCATCTGAATGTTAGAATACCAGCTGTGTTGGATCTGAACTCTGCAGGGTGATGGATCTCCAGGACCAGGATTGAGCAGCCCTGGACTTGATAATAATCGATTAAATTACCAGTCAAAAATATAAAGATATGAACCAGCCAACCACTTTTCAGACATAGCTTTTAATGGCTGCGTTCTTGACCTTGTCTTTAAGACTGATATATGTCAATGGCCTCTTGCTATATTGTACTGGGTCTCATTCAAAAACAGCCTAGGGTGAAATTTATGTAACTTACAGATTTAGGCTGTATCATAGTGTCTCCCTCTTGAGGGACTTCATTTGGATTTGCCCAGCCTGGATTGGCTCACTCCTGCTAGAGCTCCACCCTCATCACTCATTCATCATCACTCACATCTGCAGATAGTTTTGGTCACATTAACTCTCTCACATATATAACCCTCAGTTTGGCCTTACATTTGTGAAGTCTTGCCCATATTACTGTGCAGTTCTGAGTCTCGTTTTCTGTGGTTTGTTTATTGTAGATTTTCCCTGCATTGTTCTAGCCTGCTTGTGTTTTGATTCCTTCCTGTTGCGATTACGAGTTTTAGATTACCCCAGACAAAGCTACTCAGCAAAGGAATCCTGCCTCAATCATTATAGACTGATATTATCTGGAATACTGAAGGAAATATAATTTTTTGGATGTCTGGGTCCTTTGCAATGGTATAATGATGCAAGGCTATGAAGTTGGCAGGAACATCTAAGCTGTAATTATAGGTTGGATGGTCATATGTAGATGTGTTCATGGCAGAGAAATTGCATCCATTACAAGTAGAATTGGGCTGTTTTTGAAGCTTAGTTTGGGCACCCTGGGTCAAATCACATGTTTAAAGTGAGAAGAAGTTGGCACATCTAACTTATGAAGTTAAATGTAACACATAATCTACAAATTTTAGTCTGCAATTTCTATTTCCTGAGTCAGGCTACATGTTTATTTATTTATTTATTTATTTATTTATTTATTTATTTATTTATTTCATTTATGTTTTAATTGTGTATTAAAATGTGCAGAAGTGTGTTCTTTATAGACAATGTCTAAACCTATTTTCACATAAAAAAAAATAATAATAATAAAACGTAATTTGACTGGGGGGCACCCAAACATTTGTATGTGACTGTATAAACTCAGGGGTAAAGTGTTTATTTGAAATTTTAACAGTGTTTACATACTACACCAAACTTGTTCATTATGAAAAAGGAAACACTTGACAAAAACAATTTGGTTGTCCATGATATGGACTTTTTAAAGCAGCAGCATTAAATGGAATTCCTGGAAACCCATAGCACTGGATGATTTAGACACTTCCCTCCTCTAATTTAGCTCATGCATGACTTGATCTTTAAAAAATAAGCTGATTTAGTTGTGTTAGACCAGTGAGGACACTAAACCCTGGAGTCTTGCAGCCATCCAGAAATGCACACGTGCAATAGTGCTCAGGTTGCTGAACGTTTGGCGTGAACAGTTTGGCTTTCATTTGGCACACTTAGAGTACTGAGCATGTCTCCAGGATGCACTAGAAACTACTAACCTTCCTGTTCAGGAAAACACCATCACTCAATAGCATCCCCAGTGTAAATGAAGGAGGTGGAGTGACTGGTCTAACGTGATTAGTAATGATAGAGGGAGGAACAATGGAACATCACTCTTTCTACTTACAATCATGTTTCCATTTGCTCATATGTACTTGTTCCCCCTTTCCCATGAACTGGCCAGAATATATACCAGAGTGGCAATATATGAGTCAGAATCAACCCAACTGATGAGTTGTAATTACTGATTAACAATTCTTCATATTCATTCAGCACACAAAGTGCAGCCTGTTGAAAGATGCAGCATTACTATGTGCTAAACAGTGAGGGGAAACAAGCATCGGGACTCTTGTTTTTTGTTATTTAATATGCTACTAGTGCCTATATTCACATGACAAAATGTATTTTGTATATAAATAAAAATGTATGTTTTATAAGCATAAACAAAGATATGTTTAAATGTTTAAAGAAAAAAGAGTATTTACTACAAATGACTAACATCAGTGCTTTGTTGTAAAGCTGTCGCTGGCAATTACAGCTTCGAGATGTTTACACTAATTAGCTTTTTGCAGGTTTGTGGTTCAGTTTTTGCCTATTCCTATTGGCAAACCATCCTTAGTTCCTCAACATCATGAGGGTGCCTCCAATGGTTTTAGCATTTCAAAATCCTCCATAAACTTTACAATAGGATTCAAGACAGCGGTTTGGCTTGGCCCTGCAAGCTCCTTCATCTTTTAAAAAAACAATCTTGAGTTTTTTTTTGCTGCATGTATGGGGTCATTGTTGAAATGTCCATCTTCTCCCCAGATTCAGATTTATTCAGATTCATTACATGTCCCAGTTCTGTTTTCAAAGAAGCAGCCCCGTATCATGATGCTCCCACCTCCGTACTTCACTGTAGGTTTGGTGTTCTTGGCTTTATCTGCACAATCTTTCTTTCTTCAAACATGATGAGCTGAAATAATGTGTTAATGTCTGCAAGTGCAAAGTCAGATACATTATTTGTGTAAATCTGAAGTAGATGTGTGCATTGGAAGTGTATTAAATAACAACTAAGGTGTCCGAATGTTTGTTTTCCCTCACTGTATACTACTATCTACAAAATGGACATAAAGATGGACAAAATTCAAGCTTCAAAATGACTCCTACCAGTATTTTAGCTATTCAATACACTTTCTTCTATTTTATACAGGGTCAGAAATTACTTGAGATTATTTAACATTATTGAACTTGGTTTTAGGCAAATGTGTGATTATTTAGACATGCAGTTTTCCATAATGCTAACTGATATCTATAAGCTACCATCACTGGTAAGCTACATTACTGGAAAACTAAAGAAGCAAACTTCAGACACTAGATGTTTCTTGACTGATTAGCTTCAATTGGGTGGTGTAACTGTTTAAATTTGTTGCAAAACTGTCACTTTAAAGTACAACACATTTATAAATTTTGTAATTTTTTTCAGTAGGCTAAATCTTCCTTTCCATAAAACAGGACTATCAGGGGAGAGGAGGCACAGTACAGAGTCTCTGGAGAGCACATGGCCAGCAGCCGTGAGTCTGGCAGCAGAAGAGCAGGCCAAAGCCTGGTCTCGCTGAGGATGAATACAGGGCTCTGTTCGCAGTGCCAGTCATCACATTCCAGCAGAGGCACGGCTGAGCGGGGGGGACTGAGCAGCCGCCAAGCCTGGCCAGACTCCCACTCACAATGCAGCAGGCCACAGAGCAACCAGCCTGCTCCCAGCTAACACACTTTGGCCACTCACGACTGCATAAGGCCACTGCTCATTGTTTGCTGGTATTCTCTGATGTAGGTGTGCTAGCAATCCAGTCTTAAGGAATCTTTCCAGTTAGTGTGACGGTTGAACGAACCTTTTAACCTATTAAACTCTAAAGACCCAAGACGCCTTTGGTTTCTAAAGTTTGTTTCTTTAGGTTTGCACTGGAGCTATGAAGCAGCGGCAGGTCTAGAAAATTTTACCAGCGGTGGTAAAGAAGTGTCATGGAGTTTCAGCAGGGTGGCAGTACAAAAGTGCAGCCAGAGGGGGTGGGGTGGTGGGTAGAGACAGAGGCAGTTGATCCTCCAATTGCCAATTTACTCTCCCCTTCAAGGCGAAGCAGTACAGAAGAGACATACAGTGTGAATGTGTGAGGGGTGGCGGGGGGAGAGTGGGTTTTGTGAGGAGAGGTGTTCTGCCTCTCCTGTTAAAGGTGCAAACGCCCACCCCGCAGTGAGGTGGAAGCCCATGACTTGGCAGAAATTTTGGCCAATCAGATTTCAGGGAGAGCCTTGGCCACTCTGGCCACCCCTTTTAAAACCACACATGCTATAAGGCTAATGTATCTGACAAGTAATGGTTATAACTAAAGTAAAAGTCATTGAGTTGTGATCAGAAAATGACATGCATATGTGGTCTCTGACAATGTATCACACTTACTGTTATGAAGGGACAAAAGCAGCCATGTGCACAAATCTTGCCACTTTGCCCTCAGACAGTATATGTGCCCACTTGGTTGATGTGTGCAATAACTTTTTTTATTGCTGCCACCTTTTTTCAAGATCAGTTTCAATGAGAAGTTGCTCCTAGATTGGTTTTGGTTGTACAAGATTCGCTGCTCATTAGCGCCCCCTTTGGTGTAGTAACGACCAGCTGTGGTTCTCCTCAGTAACCGCAGCTTTGCATGCTGGTGACTGGTGTTCAAATGGAAACGTTAGTACTTTTGGCTGCCTTTGGAAAACCTTTCAACACTAGGTTTTGTTTTAACATGAAATTAAATTATGTTTTATTCATGTTCGTGTTGACATTTTTGTCCCTGAGCCCCAGCCCCACCAAATGCATATAGACAAAATTCATGTTTTAAGGCTTCTACTAATGTTTTTAGCTATGTGACATCATTTTAGCTATTTTAGATGCCAGATCATTCGGTATCAGAGACTGCATCAGAGTGTCTATGTCATTACCTGTTAGCTGTTTCAGTTTTGTAGCTTCAGTGCAAATTATATATGTAGCAATCCTTCCAGTTAGAGGTTGAAATGAACCTTTCAAACACTCAAAGTTAGTTTAAAAACAATCAAATACATGCAATAGAATTCACCATACCAGCACAGAGACAATATACTGGCATGCTTTACCAAGCAATCAATGTAAGAAGGCTTGGCTAGTTTACTAATTATGATGTTTATATGAAAGATACCTCAACCACACCCTTTCTCTCTGGCCTTGACCTCTGAACCTGCAGGTCTAGGAGAATTGAATGCGTTTCCTGACACACGTTGAGGATTTCCTTTGCCACACTTGACCCATGATGCCAGAACAAAAGCATGGGTCTTTCCATGCAGGCTTCAAGAGGAAATGTTTACTAGAAAGTTCAGTCTCAGTGCAGAGATTACATATTTTTGGCTCTCAATCAAAAGGAAATTTTATTTTCTAGGGTTCGTTGATGTATAAGAGTGCAAACTGCATGCCAATGAGTGCTGTGTTAACAACACAACAGGTGCTAGTACAGTATGTTTTGGCTCCAATTCTGGAGAGAAGTAACACTGCGATGTGGAAGTTCCTCAGATCCTACTGATTCGGGTAAATGTTTTAATAATTTTGCTGAGAAGTTAAAACAAGAACTGACACATTTACATATTCCCCATGATTACAGAATTTAGGTAGCAACAGCTGCCTTCATTCTTTCCTCTTCAGTGTGTGGTAGAGGTTATGATCCCACCTCCTACAGGTTGGTCAGTGGTACTACAGGTAGTTGTGGTGGGTCAGCAGCTCCATGTTTTAAACCCCTTCTGGAGCATCGCCAGCTATGGAAAGAGTGAGTCATCCAATAGAATGCTACACACACACACACACACACACACACACACACACACACACACACACACACACATACACACTTGTATGTGTGCAGGAGTACTGTCCTGCAGGGACACTCAGTATTAAGTTCAAGGCTGCAAGACACTGTAAAATATACTATATTATGTTTCACATATATTGAAAGTAATGTTACTATACAGTTCTAAAAGTTCTAAAAACACCTTAATATAATAAAATATGATTTCAAGTGTACAAAAACTGAAGCTAAAAAGTTAAAGCCAGCTGTTATGTAGAGAAATTATGTACAATTCAGGTTAGTTAACAATTTATATTCATCATTCTTTGGAGCAGAGAAGCAGTCTGACTTTTAGCTTCTGCTCCTGGAATATAACTCACTACACACATATTCAAACTGCAAACATTACATTGCTTATTTATAATACACG